ACACTAAAGTGGCTTTCATGGTCATACCTAGCCTACACAAGACAATGATGAGATTATTATAAACATCCCGATTGAGGTTAAGCCCCATACATACAAGCTTATGATGCATCTGCAAAATTGAATCAGCTCTTCTACTCTTTGAAGATGCATCAAGCAGAATTCTATGAATAAATGAGGTAGGGAGAGAACCAACAGACAACATTCCATTCAAGACATCTATGGCTTTTTCAATCTCATTTGCATCGCAAAGTCCTCGGATCAGAATGTTACAAGTGTTTGAGTTTGGAATTAACCCTTGACACTTCATCTCATGCCAGAGTTTAAAAGCATTTTCAGCGTCACCCTCTCTACAGAATGCATTAATCATGGTATTGTATGTGGCATAGTCAAGAGCCAAACCCAACTTTTTCATTCCAGTACAAACAGATATTGCTTCATACTTCCCAAGCCTCAATAGACCATTCATTAAGACATTGTATGCAACAACATCAAACCCTATATTTTTCTCCATCATCTCTTGGGCCAAGTTCAGAGCAACTGACTCCTTTCGCTCTTTAAAGTAACCATCCATTAGAGATGTGTAGTTAACGCGATCAAGAAACAAACCCCGAGAAGTCATATCCATAATTAATCCTTCAGTTTCCTCCATCCTTCTGCGCCTTTTCATGTTGTTCAAAAAAGTATCAAGTACAAAATTGTTATCCTCCACTCCTCCCATTTTCATTTCATTGTAAAGATCAAGAGCGAGCTCTTGTTTACCTGCCTTAAAGCACCCGTCAATTAGTGTTGCATACACAAAAGCATTTGGCAGGATATTCTTTTGCACCATCTCCCTTAATAAACTCATGGCCTCCCCAAGCTTTCCTTCCTTCACGAAGCCATTTATCATTGAAGAATAAGTAATAATATTTGGGAGAATGTGGCGCTTCTCCATTTCTTTAAGTACAGATTCTGCATCATTCATGTCTCCTAAATTGCAAAGTCCATGTATGAACGCAGAGTAGGTGATGGAGTTTGGAACAAGGCCAAGCTTTGAAATTGTTCGAAACAGGTCTTTAGCATCAACAGCTTTCCCAACCTTAAAGAGCCCAACAATTAAAGCAGTACAGATTACCAATCAAAAAGCAGGCCACGAACAACCATTTGGCTTTGAAGGGCAAGAGCTTCCACGGAAGAGCCTGCCTTAAACAAGAAATCCACAAGGGTAGTATAGGAGATATGATTAGGATCCACACCCATTTCCTCCATCTCCCTTAAAAAGCACTTTGGCTTCTGATAGCCTCCCATACTTGCAAATGCCATTTATAATGGAGCTATAAGCAACTACATCTGGATAAATGGCATTCATAACCATTTCCTCAAACAAAGACAGAGCTTCTTCAAGTCCTTGCCGCTTACTATAAGAACTAATAAGTGTGGGTGTGTGTTATAAGGTTTGGTTTCAAATTCTTATCTTCAGTCTGATTTTGGCCATCATCTCTTTCATCATGAGGGCATTCTTCATTTGTCTGAGATCTCAACATCATATCTATAAGACTCTTGGCCCTTGCAAAATCACCCGTGCTGCAAAACCCATGAATCAGAGTATTATAAGTAATAATATCAGGAGACAGACTCTCCCCACCCATTCTGTCCATCAATTCAAGTGCCTGACTAACTTGTCCAGCTTTGCAATGTCCAGCAATCAAGGTGTTAAAACCTACAACATCCTGTGGAATTCCACCATCCACCAAATTATCCATAACCCGTGCTGCGTACTCTACCAACCCAATTTGACAAAACCCTTTAACTAGTGTATTGCAAGTATATGAATCGATTGGTATATCCCTCTTCACCATTTGAGTCAAAAACCCAAAAGCCTGATAAGCCAATCCTTTTTTACAGAAACCCCATATGACAGTATTATAGGAAACAGTATCAATTTCACCAGTTCTCAGGAAATCTAGTGCAAAACTCAAGTTTCCCACTTTGCAGAAAGAATGAATCAATATGTTGCAGGTGAAAACATTGGGCATAACCCCACAAGAAAGCATCTCAGAGTAAAGAAGAGATACCTGAGAAACCCAACCTGAGGAATTGAATTGGTAAAGAAGTTGATTCCAAAGCGGCAAATCAGGAACAAGGCCGTGATTTCGCATAGAACGGAAGGCACCAGAAGCATTGGAAAATCTGCCACATGTCAAGTAAAGGTGTACAAGGGTGCAGAAGAATGATGCATAGAGGTGGGTCTTGGATGGAGGGATGGCAGAACTGTAGCCTTGAACATGGGAAGGAGAAGACATTGGTGGGTTTTGAATGGTCATGGGAATTGAACAATGCAGTTTGGCTGATGAGAAACTCAAAGATGGAGCAATATGAAAGGGTTTGAGCTTACTGAAGAACATCACCACCCAAATAAAACAGAAGTAACCCCAATTTTTTCTAGCTTAGTGGGACTTCACATGATCCTGAACAACACGCAAGCCTCCTATCGTTTTCCCAAAATCCTACAAAAAAAATAGAGAATAAAACTAATTCACAATTATATAGTGTATAATAAATTAATAATCAATTGTATTAGTCTTCAAACAACATGATAGCAAGTTAATGAGGATTTGATATAACCAGTTTGCACAAGGAAAGACAAGAAACCCATTAATTAAATGCCGCAAAAGTGTGTACATATATATTACACACACACACAATGGTGTTGTGTTGAAATATACAATGGACATGATCACAAATCCCTTTGGCACCAATTCCACCAGTAAATGCATTGCAAAAAATATAAAATGGACATGATCACAAATCTTTTGAAACTCAAGCTGCAAAAGCATTATATATGCTGAGAATTTCTGAACAAATAAAAAAGAAACCAGCAATAAGAAGAGCCTAGCTCAGAAATAGTACAATATCTTACAAGCCTCTTCTCAGAGGGGATCCCATTAAACGGAGTCCCTTCTAACAAGAGGCTTATAAGGCACACACTACAATCCTTGTTTATGTATCATAAAATCACTTCAACCCTCAGTATTGAAAATATGTAAAATTAACAACCAGTCTAATTGTAAATTGTAATCTGTACATATATAAGGAATATATGTATCACACAATCGCTTCAACCCTACACGGGTATATTTCTTTGAACGATTCATATCACTTCCATCGAAATTAACTTATCATAATTTCACAAACAAAAAAATTGATTCCATAATACCAATTCTAATTATATTAGTAATTTGGGATTTGAAACATTTCACTGCAGATTAGTGGTGAGGGAGAGATATAATACCTTTTTCATCCACCATTTCACCTCTACGCCTACGATGTATTTTATCCTTTCCTCTAAATTGAAAGCCGCAATCCTAATCCAAATAAAAAACCAATGTCTCATGAGTTCCCTTTCCTACATTTTCAAAGCAATCAATCAGAAAAAAAAAACACAAACAGGGCTCGTTTGGTACACATGATTGGAAAGGACTGGAGATGGTTATCAAAGAGGATTGGAATGGATTTGAGAGAAATGGAGAGCTAGATCCTGTCCTTCTCCAATCCTTCATGAGTTTGGTGTTGCATTGGATAAGCAAGTTGGACAACAGTTTTAAAAATGCTATTGAGTTTGGTTTCATGAAAATCCAAAAGCTAAAGCCAAGCTCATTAGTTCCCCAATCAATCAGTACCTAACAAATATATATACTTAAAGAGGATAAAAAAGATAGATAATTTACCTTCTGGTTGGGCTGCAGTAGTCGAGGCTGGTGGTGGCGGAGAGGAGAGAGAGAGGGTGCGAGAGGAAGCAGAGATAGGGAAGGACCGGGGGAGGGATAAGATTCAGGAGGTTGACCGACACTACTGTTGAAGCGTCGCCGTTGTCGAACGGGAATCAGGTCGCCGCCGGTTCAATTTGGGTCGCGATGGAGGAAAACTCTCCCTTCCCGGTTTCAATGTACGAGTAAATTGCAGCTATGTTACTTACGGGAATGTTCTAAAATATCAATTATATCCGATAGTTCCATCGAATTTTTCGTGTTCTTAGATTACGGATAATTTTTTGGATTACCAATATTTTTGATATCATCAATATTTTAGACCTTATTACGTCACTCATGTATCTTACCATATAATGTATAAAGTGTAAAATATTATACTAATTCATTATATATAAATAATTATGGTATGTATAAACTTTTTTCATTAATTACTACATATTTTCTATACTCACAATGTTTGTCAGCTCGCTATATAATCAACTTAAATCAGTTATATTTATCATGCAATACATTTCCTTCCAATTTTTTGTGATAAACTAATGGATAATTGACTAAATAAACATCTTGCAAAGTTTCAATAAAAATTTCTAAGTTTTTCTTACAATTTCCGTGGTTTTTATTCAATTTTTATCGATATCGATAATATCCCGATATTTCCATCGAAATTTCCGTGTTTTTGAACTACCGATATTTCCGATATCATCATTATTTTATACCTTGCTTACGAGCAATGTTACTCAACTAAAAATTTATTCTCATTCATCCTCAATTTTAATTCAACTTAGGGGTGGGTTCAAAAAACCGAAAACCGAAAAAAACCGAAAACCAAACCGAACCGAGGCCGAAAAAAACAGAACCGAAAAAACACCGAACCGAAACTGTCAAATCGAACCGAACCGAAACTGACCGGTTCAGTTTCGGTTTTTGAGGTTCGGAAACCGAACCGAACCGATATATATATATTTAATTATTTTTTTAAATATTATAAATAGTTTAGTCATACAATCATAACAAAACATACCTTGTTGCTAAGTTGGTTTCGGTGAACCTTTTCAACCCCCAACGCACGGGTACGAACCTCCAGGATGTCTGAGATGTTTTTTAATTTTTTTGGAGAACTTAACAAAACCCTTTAACCCTAGTCACTAGCAGCCATACCTTTTATTTTTTTTCATTCCCTTCCCCTCTCTCTCGTTCCCTGCCTCCTCTCCTCCAGTGTAACCCTAACCCAGCGCAGCCGAGCCTCCTCTCTCTCTTGTTGGGTCTTCAACTTCAATCGCTCTGTCTCTCTCAATCTCTCAGGTGACCCACGACGGCGCGACCCTTTTCCCTTATCCCTCTCCTCTGTACTCTAGACCCTCTCTCCTTCCTTCCCAACTCCGCCGCTCTTCCGCTTCGTCTTCTTCCTTCACAGCGACCTGCAAGTGTCGCCGTCTCACTCGTCGTCACTGATTTGCTCTCAGTTTCTCACCGCCATGACCTGTGACCCACGACCTCTTGCTGTTCGAGTCTCGACCCACTACTTCGTTCCTTTGCAAGGTTAGTCTTATAATAATTTCTCTCATGTTTGTTCTACATATTTTGTTTTCAATTTGATGCGTTTTGCAGAATTTATTTTCAATTTCATGGGTTCTGTAGCTTTTCAATTTCATGGGTTTTGGTTTTGCAATTTGTTTTGGGTAACTTCAGTTATGAACACTATTAGTTGAGGTTTCATTAATTTTATATTTTCTTATCCTTGCATGCGGTACTAATTTGTATCGACGAGATCCTCGGCGAGGCGGAGAAGAAATCGACTATGATGGATTTCACAGCTGAGATGAGGATCCAAGCTTTTCTTCGACTCTTTCATGGTTTTGGTTCGATTTCAAAACTACCCAAATGATAAAAAATTAAAAGACTATGATGGATTTCTGGGTTTTTTTCTTTCTTTCTGGATTTGGGTTTTTTGTTGAATATAAAGGCTTTAACTTCATGACTACAAAACGATTTGAGCTTTTTAGAGAGAGAGAGAGAGAGAGAGCGGCTTTTGATGATTTCAGCGAGTAAATGCTGTAAGGAAGAAATACAGAATGATAAAGTGTTGATGCTAGCACAGGAGAAAAAAATGGCACTCTGTGATATCTGTGGTTCATTTCTTGTGGCCAATGATGCTGTAGAGAGAACTCAGTCTCATGTTACAGGGAAACAGCATATTGGTTATGGCATGGTTCGAGATTTTATCGCTGAGTTCAAGGTGAGTCTCTCTGTTGATTAATGAAGTATTGAAGTTAAGGAAAAATATAATTTCTTGCTCAGGGACTGAAAAACGTGGACCTTATTTTTCAGGAATCTAAGGAGAAGGTAAGGGAAGAAGAAAGGTTAGCGAGGGAGAAAGAAGCAGAAGAACGGAGGAAACAGAGGGAGAAGGAACAGGAGGATAGAAGGAGAAGTAATTCAAGTGACAGGGGTCTATCTTATGTTGTTGTGGTTGTTTTGCATTTTTTGGAGGAAAAAAAAAAATGAAAAAAAACCGAAACCGAACCGAAAAAAATTTGGGCCGAACCGAAATTTCGGTTTGGTTTCGGTTTTGGCAAAAAACCGAACCGATCAGAACCGAACCCAGCCCTAATTCAACTAAATAAATGATCTTTTAACTTTAACCTAATTGTAACAATGGTCCCTCCAACATAACTCGTTTTAACAAAAATTTTGACGTAGTTGACAAAAATGATCATAATTACACACTTTGATGAGTTGAGGGACTCTAATTGTATAAATGGTCATTCCAACGTAACTTATTTTGACAAAATTTTGATAAAATGACTATAGCTACACATTTTTATAAGTTAAAAAACTAATGGTAATGAATTTTTAGTTGAGGGATTCAATTTGATTAAAGTTAAAGAACTATTGCTACAATATACATTTTGTTCGTCTCTTTCCCACCTCACTGTCATGACCTGGCAAACTCAATCCAAAGTGCAAATGTGTGAACAGAAAAAATAATAAAAAATTAATTAATTTCCACTTACTTCTGCAAATGTGAAAAAGAAAAAATTAATTTACCCTTAAATTTTTAGTCTAAGATTATGAATTTAGAATAATTTTTTCTTAAAGTAACTTTCCAAAAACAATTACGTAGACTATTCTAATTTAATTTTCAGAACATTTTAACCTAAATATATTTAGATTTCAATAAATATTGAAAAATTACTAAACCAACATCATAAAACTCGTGTATGAAAGAATTTTTTTTAATTAAGTAGTTGGATTTAAATTTGGACCGTTAGATTTTTATTTTTACTATTGGATTTATTAGATTTTTAGCCGATAGATTCAATGAATTTATAAATATAAAACTAAAAAAAAATACACATATATGATGGGCCAACCCACTAACCAAGGTGAAATCCTAGGCTAAATTTGCCCCAAAAATGAGTTTTGAGTTAAAACTCATATTTAGCCCAAGGATTAGAGCAAATTAGGATAGATTTAGAACCTAAAATTTGAATTTTATATTAGAGTAGGTCTTACTACATGAATCATTTTAATATAAAGAAATGACTTTTTATTGTAAATGTTCAATGAAATTGACTTCTCATTTTAATTTATGAGTCAATCATTGCCACACAATTAATGTGATCATTCTATTAGGATTTTTGTAAATTATTATGGTAGTCTGCTCATGTAACACACATAGTATAGGGCCCACAAATTCATATAGAGAACAATTTTATTTGAACTGTTTATACTATAATTACTTTGTTCTCTTGTAAGTACTTTTAAGTGTTTTTATACCTATTTTTGTAGGTGACAAAAATCCAATCAAGAAATTTCAAAAGTGGGATAAAAATACATGTAAGAGAACAAAGTAATTATAGTATAAATGACTCAAACAAGATCGTTCGCCACATGAATTGATATGAATAATTTGTATTAAACTAATCCTTAATTAACTATTTAAAAATAGATTTGAGAAAAAAAATTAAGATTTAAATTTAAAAGAAAAATAAGAAACAAAACAGTTTTAAATTAAAGAAAACATATCAGGCAAATAAAACTTAAGAAAACAAAGGGAATTGTTATTGTCACTCCAAAAATCTCATTTTACACTCCAAATTTTCTATAATTAGAAAGAAAAACACAATTTTAAGGAGTGTGGAATGAGATTGTTAGAGTGCTAATAACAATTCCCAAAACAAATTTTATTGACAATTAATTATGGGACATACTAGGATTCAGTCGTTGCCATTAACAATACCATATAATTTTGTCAATTACTAATGAATTTCCGCATACATGATTTGAAGGTTAAGTGATGTTCAAGCGGGAGTGTTTCGCTAATGCATATTTTTCTCCTAATGTTCAAGCAAAAATGTATATTTAACATGCAATTTGTGTGTGATGTTCAGATCAAATATAAACATGCAAAAACTCATTAAGCTTTGTGAAAAACTCTTTGAAAAATCATGCAACCTTTAAGAGTGTGATGCTCGCCTTTAGTGAAATTACATTTATTAATCACAAGAAGCCCTCCTAATTTTAGGGTGACGTTCCAACAAAAATTGTATCATATTACTTGTATAATTACCCTAATGGTGGACAGTCACATTAGATAGTTTAAACATAGTTATTAATAATTCAAAGCAAGAAAACATCAATTCATATGAAAATTAATAAGAACCACATATTCATGTTAAGACTCATAGCTTGGTCCTAACAAAAGAAATAAGTTACACACAATTACAATAAAAAGAAAAATATTAATAAAGAAGTAAAGATAGAGAACACTCTTGAAACAAATTGTCAAAGCTCTCTAAACCGAGGTCTAGTCCCCCAACAACGTTCTGGCCCTCTAGGGCTCCTAAATCACATATAAATAGACTTAGAAATCTGAATCCTACTAATTTAGGTCTCCCAACAAATACAAAAAACCAAATAAAATAATAAAACTCGTAAACTCAATCATATTCAAATCGAGTAATCTGGGCAACGAATAAATCTCCACGTTTTATGACCATATCATCATCAAATCTTGCCCAAAAGGTAGCGTTAGAAAGATCTGGATGTCCCCAACAACTTTGTACAAGGAATTTTCCTCTAAAAACACTAATTCGACAGTCAAAATTTCCAAAATAATGAACAAAACATACTAAGAATATGGTAAAATATATAATATGAAATTGTCTCATCAGTGAGCGAGGGTTCATTGGCGGTTTCTCACACCCACTTATGTTAATGTAGGAAATTTATTTCTTGTTAGTAGTAAAGTATCCATCCTCTCAAGATGAGAATATTCTTACCATTACTGCACTTTTATCTATGAGCTAATACTGCATGCATTTATAATAAGGGTTCATCCCACACTTTGCACTCTTTTTCTTGGTTTAAATTAGTTCTAGAATTTGATTTTAATTTAGTCGCACTTTTTACACATCATTTGCATATTTTGACTTCATTACCTTTTAAGTGTTGGTCAACATGTTTCGATTTTAGTATCCACTTGGTTATCCAAATCGAAGTGTATCACTTGACAAAAAAAAAAATTGTGTATACATTCATAGCTAGCAACCGAAACTCATTAAGAATTTTGGTTACTTTCTGCTAAAAGTTGGTTTAGCAACTAGCACCACCATTACTACAATGTCACCTTGATCTACAATGTTGTATTTTACAGATTTGGAGAAGAGTTAACTAGCTAAGTCAATCAAGGCGTTGCGTGGTGAAATCAATATTATAATAATGAGTGTATAATTACAAGGGATATATTTGCTAGCCACGAGTTCGATGTCTCTATTGTGTCTCTTTGCTAAACTTTTGACATCTATAGTACGACTTAATTGAGAGACAACTTTGTTAACTTTTTTATTTGTCATTTAAAAATTTTAAAGAAAAAATTGAAATACTTGAGCGTATTCCTACTCTGGCGTCAATCTCCTTTTAAATGCAAAATAAAAAAGTTAAAAGAGTTATCTTTCAGTTAGGTTATAAGACAGATGTTGAAAAATTAACAAACACAAGGGAGACAATAAATGGGGGACAATAGACTTGTGGCCATTTTTTATAGGTTTGTCAGGTATTTTAAGTTAATTCATGAAGTTCTCTCCCATTTTGGTAAGAGTTTTCTTCAGTTTTCAAGCTTGGTTCTTCAATTCTTTCTCACTTTTGCTGCCGCCGATCCTAGCTGTGGCTTAGGTTGGTGGCAGCCCCAGTCCCTCCTCCTCCTTTTTCCTTCCGCCTGGCTCCTATGTCCTTTCTGGATAGATTGTATTTTCGACTTGGATCCCTGCTTAGATCTATCCGATCTTCCGGTTTCAACTCCCGTTCTTAGTCATGTTATTGATACCCAGTTCAAATGTGAAATTTCCTCTGGTGAAGCTTCAATTCTGCAAGGGAAGGTGTGCAGAACTTCGGTTCGGGTCTTTGTACCGCCACTTTCCGTCACAACTATTCCGATGGACTGTTTTCCTCGGTGACTAAGCTTCGATCTAGAAGCTCCTTGGGTGACGATGCTACGACTGGAAGTGTGGAGTTTATCTGGATGACTCGGATTGTGCGCAAATTGGGGCAATTTTGGCAACCTTGGGGATGGATGACTGATTTCCATAGGGTTCCGACGACCGTTGTGTATGGATTCCAGTTGGGGATTTTTTTTTTCTGGCTTGTTGTGTTAGGGTTTGTTTGGGTCGGGGCTTATGCCTTTTGTTTGGGTCTTTGGAGGAGGGATTTGTGTATATTGTGGGCTTTGTGTATATTTTAGTTCTTTGATGAAAGTTATATTAACAAAAAAAAAAAAAACCAGTATACAAAGACTGGCTTGAATAAATGATGCTTGAAACAAATGACATCTTTGTAATGACTAACACACAACAATTCTTTCTGCTTATTAGTAAGAGTCGACTCTCAAGCACTCATACTAATTCTAGTTTACAACATGTTATAAGCACGCAAATCTCTTTGGTTAAATTTTCGACCATATCAAAATGATAAAAGCATATGCGGTGTATCGTCTCATGTTCCACTTACACAAAAATAGTGCCTCCTAGTTTGGGTCATTTCTTGCTTGGTTTGTAAAGTTGGGGGGCATTTGTTTACTCTCACTAGCCCTCACTGGACTATACTGGACTAACTATTAGCCTAATCATATGTTTGTTGTTTCACAAGACTAATATTAATGAGACTAGTTGGGATTAGCCTAGACTAAGGACATCACTAGAGTTTCTTAGCAAGAGTCCCCGGAAAACCATGGGACTAGCTAAGACCTTTCTCTGCTCTCTGTCTCACGAGACGACAGCCACATTGTTCCCGCTCTCCCTCTTACACCACCAGACGCCCACCACTCTCTCCCTCCTCGTCCTGAACCCACAATCACGAGACCTCAGATTCGCCCATCCCCAAGATGCTTTATCGCCGAGCTCGTTGTCGAGAGGCAACACTTCTCTGCTTAGTTCCTCGGCTTCATCGACTCCCAATCTCGCTCTCCCAAAACCATTTTCAAACATAAATCTAACGGACCTGCAACGC